AGGTGGTACAGTGGATAGAGCACCAGGCCTGGAGTCAGGAAGACCTAAGTTCAAATTTTATCTCAGACACTTACTAGCTGTGTAATCCTGGGCAAGTCATTTAACCCTGTTTGCTTCATTGTAAAATTACCAGGAGATGGTGGATCAGTGAAATAGATTAGGTACATAAGACGCAGTAATCAATGACCATAATAACCTAGTGTTTGACAAACCCAAAGACTCCAGTTTGGGGGATAAGAATTCACTATTTCACAGAAACTACTGGGAAAACTGGAAAACAATAGGACACAAACTAGGTATAGACTAGCGTCTCACACCATATGCCAAGGCAAGGTCAAAATACGTGCATGATTTAGACATAAAGGGTGACACCCATATGCAAATTAGAAGATAAAGGAATATTCTGCCTGTCAGATCTATGGGGAATTCATGACCAAACAAGAGCTAGGAAGCATTAAAAAATATAAAATAGATAATTTTGATTATATTAAAGTAAAAAGCTTTTGTATAAACAAAAGCAATGCAACCAAGATTAGAAAGGAAGCAGAAAGCTGGGGAAACAATCTTTACAGCAAGTGTTTCTGATAAAGGCCTCATTTCCCAAATATATAGAGAACTGAGTCAAATATGCAAGAATATAAACCATTTCCTAAGTGATCAACGGTCAAAGGATATAAACAGGCAGTTTTCAGGTGAAGAGACCAAAGCTATCTATAGGCACATGAAGAAGTGCTCTAAATCACTTTTGATTAAAGAAATGAAAATTAAAACAACTCTGAGATACCACCTCACACTTATCAGATTGGCTAATATACCAAAAAAGAATGATAAATTTTGGAGAGTATGTGGGAAAATTGGGACACTAATACATTGTTGGTAAAGTTGGGTACTGATCCAACCATTCTGGAGAGCAATTTGGAGCTATGCCCAAGGGGTTATAAAACTATACATACACTTTGATCCAGCAACACCACTACTAGATCTGTATACCAAAGAGATCATCAAAAAGGGAAAAGGACCTACATGTACAAAAAATATTTATAGTGGTTCTTTTCATAGTGGCAAAATGTTAGAAACTGAGAGAATATCCATCAATTGGGGAATGGCTAAACAAATGGTGGCATATGAATGTAATGGAATACTATCATGCAATAAGAAATCATGAACGGAGCAGAACCAGGAAAACATTGTAAGCAGTATCAGCAACATTGTGTTCTGATTAACTGTGAATGACTCAGCTCTTCTCAGCAACACAATGATCCAAGACTAGTGCAAAGGAACTGATGGATCTGAAGATCAAAGCATATTTTTTCACTTACTTTACTCTTTTTCATGGTTTATTTTTCCTTTTGATCTCTTTCTTTTTTCACAAGTATGACTAATATGGAAATATGTTTTACATGATAGCACATATATAACTTACATCAAATTGCCTACCATTTTCGGAAGAGGGGAGGGGAGAGAGGTAGGGAGAAAAATTTCTAACTCAAAATCCTGTAAATATGAATGCTAAAGTTGCCTTGACATGTAACTGGGGGGAAAAAAATAAAATACTATTTTAAAAACACATACTCACACAAATGAAGGAGGAAAAAATGAGCTGGAGAAGAAATGCCAAACCACTCCAGGACCTTTATCAAGAAAACCCCAAAAAGGATCACAAAGAGTCAGACACAACTGAAATAACTAAACAACAACCAGGGTCACATAGCTAGTAAATGTCTGAGGCTAGAAATGAATTCAGTTCTTTCTGACTCCAACTCCCACCTTCAGTCTCCTAGACCACAAAACTCCTAGTTTGCCATGGGGGTAATGGGATGTTTCTCCAACTGAACTTTCTGATTCTTAGAAGAAAAAAGATAGAATCTAAGATTCTATTCCAAAGAGTCAAGCCTACTGTAACACTGAAAATTTACTTTAATTCTAGTTTGCTAAGACTTTTTTAATGTAGTTTTAATATTCCCTTTCATGGTTCCTTCCCCTGGTAAACTTTATCCACTCACATCCCAGAGAAACTTGTCTACATGTCAAGCTTTTGTCTTATAGTTACTTTCACTTTTGTAAACACCCCACCCATCACCCCCTTTCCAAAGAAACTTGATTGCCCTAATTCCCATTGCCTGAGAACCTTTGTCCTGTGACTTTAATCACATGTATTGACTATGGTTAAGAAATCATGAACAGGCAGACTTCAGAAAAACCTGGAAATACTTGAATGAACTGATGCTGAGTTAAGGGAGCAGAACCAGGAGAACACTTCACACAGTAACAGCCACAATGTGTGATGACTAACTCTGCTAGACTCATTTTTTCTTAGCAATGCAAGGATCCAAGACAACTCCAAGAGACTCATGATAGAAAATGCTGTCCACATCCAGAAAAAGAGTTGTAGAGTCTGAAGGCAGAACAAAGCGTATTATTTGTTCTTTCATTTTTTTTTCTTTTTTTTTTTTGTTTCTTCTTTCTTGTTTCTCCCATTGGTTCTAATTCTTCTTTACAATATGACTAATGAGAAAATCAGTTCAATACGAATGTGTGTGTAAAGTCTGTATCAAATTGCATGCCATCTTGGGTGGTGGGGAGGGGAGAGATGGGGAGAAAATTTGGAACTCAAAATCTTATAGAAGTGAATGTTGAAAATTAAAAATAAATATTTCTTTTAAAAATTAAAAATAAAAAAGTGTGGTGGATGGCAACATTCAGATGATCTCAGGTTACATCAGTAGATTAGATAATGATGCTAGGGATAAAAGCATGCAGATGGTAAGATCTTGGAGGACTTTAGGAGTCAATAGGGTCTACTGCATCTGCCCATCCTATAGGAAGGAATGGAAATAGTGACTCCCACCTCTTTCAAGTTATGTGAGCCATCTATCAGACTGGATGGGTTCTTGGTAACCTGGGCTAGAGTAGGGTTCCCCCAGTGTTGGTATGTCTTTCCTCTGCCTAGCCATACAGGACAGGTTCTGGGATAACCCAGAAGCTGAAGGATAGGACAAAAGGGAAGCAACATTTACTAAGATCCTTGCCACAAATGCTAGGCTAGAGGGCTTTTGTACCCTACAAGGCAATCACAATGTTTTTGAGACTTAATTGGTCCAGGCAACTCAAGCTCTGCCATTGTGTTAGCTTCCTGGTCACATAAGTACAAAAACTCTGTGGAGGAATCCAGGCTCCTTAATTTTGACCCGCATATGTGAACAGGCCCACCATTATTAGACCTGGCACCCACTGTCTAACCAGACCCATCACCTTGAAGAATAGGAAGGTTGAAGAACTAAGCCCGACCAACCAAATCAATGCTACATCCTTGATGAATTTCTTTTCCCATGCTATTGTTAATTACAACTTCTTTTGTTAAATATTAGATAGTCTGGGAGTCTCATTCCATTCCAATCTCAAATTTGAACAACCAGACCTTCCTGAGTTGGGCCTGATCCAGAAGACCCCTAAAGCTGAGTGCTGGCCAAGAAACATATGAAAATGTGCCTGCCCAGCTAACCTCAATAGGGATTTCAATGGCTATCACCAAATTTATGATAGGCAAGTGGAAACCAGGGCTGGGTCATTTTCAGAAAGTCCTGACATCCTATATCTCCTATAACTTTCTTTGTGCAGAATTACAGGATCAGAAAATCAGAAAATTTGAGCTAAAAAGGAACTGGTAAATGATCTAGCCCTATCCCCTCATACTACAAAAAAGGAAACTGAGGCCCAGAGAAATAAAACTATTTGTCTACCTTTAGTAAGTAGCAGAATCAAGATTGTTCTTTGGACTCAAATCTCCCTCTCTTTCTTCTATATCATGTTGAGTAAATTCATAATAATGAAACCTATCCCAAGTTTTGAATAGAGAGATAAGGTGAATCTCAGAGATCTCCAGGCCCCCATAAGGGATAAGCCTATATTTCTTATCACATTGGTAATAGACAGGGTCAATCACAGAGGGGTTAGTCAGATTTATTTACAATGGGAAAACCCAGTGTTTCAATTGGAGGATCTTAAATTCAACAAATCTAAAACTCAACTCATCTTTTCCCCAAAACCCTCCAGTCATTTCAATTGCGTCCAACTCTTTATGACTTCATTTGGGGTTTTCCTGGCAAAGATACTGGAGCAGTTTGCCATTTCCTTCTTCAGCCCATTTTACAGATGAAGAAACTGAGGCAAACAGGCTGAAGTGACTTGCTCAGGGTCACAGAGTGTCTGAGGTCAGATTTTAACTCAGGTCTTCACGATTCTGGGCTCCACACTTCATCTACTGCTCCCCATAGCTGCCCCTACTCTTAATTTCCCTGTTTCCATTGCAAGTATCACTATCCTTTTTAGTCAGCCTGGTTCATAACCTTGAAGTTGTTCTCAATTCTTTACTCTCCCTTTCCCTCATATTAAATAAGATGCCAAGTTGTATCAATTCTATCTGTACAATACCTATTGAATCTGAACCTTCTTTTCCATCTCTGCCACAATCATCCTAGTTCAGATATGCTTCCCCTCATTCCTGGACTATTGCCATAGCCTCCTATTTTGTTTCCCTGCTTTCCATGCCCCTCTCCAATCCATCCTCCACACAGTTACCAAATTGAAATTCAGAAAGCACAAATCTGAATATAACACACCTCTGTTCCAGTGATTCCTTCTTACATCTAAGATGAAATACAAATATCTCTGTTAAGCATTTACAGCCCTGGCTACAGTCTACAAGCTGATTATGTACTACTCCACTCTGTTGTCTCTTTTTCCCAACCAAATTAGTCTACCAGCTGTTTTCCATGAATAAAATTCCATATCTCATTTCAGTGCCTCCGTCTTCATGCTTGTCTAGAGTGTACTCCCTCTCTTCCTCTGCCTCATAAATTCCTAACTTCTTTCAAGACTCAACTCAAGCACTATCTCCTATCCTACTCTTCCCATTGTTAATGTCATCCTTCTAACCCCCCAGACTGCTTTGTATTTACTTTATGTCTTTTGCATGTACAATTCTTTCAATTGCATTGCAGGGGCGCCAGTACCAGTGGGTATGGATGTCCAAATTGAAAGTATTGACAGCATTTCAGAGGTTGACATGGTAAGTAGTATGATTCATTATGAATTCGTTTTTACAAATTACAAATTTGTTTTTACAGATGTGGGAACCAAGCCCATGAAATCAATCTGTCCAAAATTAGACAGATATTATTTACTTGGTGCTAGTCAAGACTAGCGCTAAGATCTCCCTAGGATCTCTGGACTCCCAGTCCAGTTCTTTTGTGTGCGAGCTTTGTTTTTCCTTATTATCCCATCTGTTATCTTAGTTGTACTATTTTGGCTGCTTTATAATGATTTAAGTAACATTTTCTGCTACAGAACAAAACTAGGAGCAATGAAAGGAAGTTATGGGAGACAGATTTCAGCTTGCTATAAAGAAGAATTGTCTAACAGAGCTCTCCAAAAATAGAATGGGCTTCTCTAAAGCATCTCATCATTAGAGGTGTTCAAGCAGAAGCTAGATCACCATTTATTAGGGTTATTGTAAAGAGAATCCAAGTGTTGATAGGCCCCTTACAATTCTGAAGTTCCAAGATTCGAAATTCTTCTTACTTTTTTTGCTCTTTATTTTATTTATTCGAGTTTTAATGATCATAATTCTTAGCTACCTCTTTCATAGAGCTGCTATCTCAACCTTATGTCTAGCTTTCTCAGGGTTTTATAGGATCCACTAGGGTTTATAGAAGTGGGATGGGGTTGGGGGGTGATGCCACAGGAAACTGGGTTTTAGGTTAATCAGTTTGACAGCTAAGTCAAGTACAGATTGCAGTGAGGAGAGACGATTCAGGGAAACAAACTGGAATACTATGGTGGTAGTCCAGTCATGAGGGCCTATACCACGGTAGTTGCAATGGAGTCAGAGGAGGAAAGGAGATGTATACAAGTAATGTAGAAAATTGTACAAAAGAAGGTAGAAATGACAGAACTTGACAACTAATTAGATAAGGAGGGGGTGAGAGAGAGTGAGGAGTAGAGGATGACTGTTAGATTTGGGACCTGAATTACTAGAAGGATGGAAGGAAATAAGCATTTATTAAATGCCTACTATGTGCCAGGCACTATACTAAGCATTTTACAAATATTATCTCATTTGATCTTCACAACAACTTTGGGAGGTAGGTGTGATTGTTATTATCCCCCTTTTACATTTGAGAAACTAAGGCAGGCAGAGATTAAATGATTTGCCCATGGTCACACATCTAATAAATGTATGAAGCTAGATTTGAACTCAGGTCTTCCTAACTTCAGTCCTGGCTCTCTATCCACTCTTGACAGTAATAGTGAAGTTAAGAAAAGAAAAGGGTTTAGGGGGAGGGAAATGATGAGTTCAGTTTTGGACATGCTGAGTTAAAAATGTCTATTGGGTATCCAGGTCAAGTTGTGTAACAGGCAGTTGGAGATGTAGTACTAGAGATTGGAAGGGAAGCTGGGGCTAGATATCCATGTTCATATTGACTATTTGTGGTAGAACATTCCAAGCTCATATTGCTCTGATTGACTCCAACATAATAATATCACTTTGGTTCTCCTTGAGAGCGTACAACAAACACACAGGCTGGACAAGCAGATCTGAGAATCATTTGCATATTTATATTTGCTTATTAATTAATTATGTATATTATTACTATACTAATTATATACATTCTAAAACATATAAATAGTTTTGTTGTTCAGTCATTTTTCAGTCATGTCCAATGCTTTGTGACCCCATTTGGGTTTTCTTGGCAAAGAAATTGGAGTTGTTTGCCGTTTCTTCTCCAGCTTATTTTACAAATGAGGAAACTGAAGCAAACAGGGTTAAGTGACTTGCCCAGCGTTACCCAGCTCAGAAGTGTCTGAAACTGGATTTGAACTCAGGAAGAAGAGCCTTCCTGTCTCCAGGTCTGGCACTCTATCCACTGGGCCACCTAGCTGCTTCAAATATACAGTGAAAAGGGTGAAAAAAAAAAGATAAAATAATATTTAGTCTTAGAGTCAATAAGAAGCCATTGGAGTTTATTGAGTGAGGGAGTAACATTGTTCAACCTTCAATTCAGGAAAATCACTTTGGCAGCTTCAAGGAGGATTAACTGGAGGAGGGAGAAAGAAGGTAGGATCACAAATTAGGGAGCTTTTTGAAATAGTCCAGGAAATGAGGCATCTAGGTGGTACCATGGATAGAGACCTGGAATTAGGAGGGCATGAGTTCAAATCCAGCCTCAGACACATAACTCTCACTGGCTGTGTGACTCTGGGCAAGTCACTTTACCCCAATTGCCTCATCAAACTAAAATAGTCCAGGAAAGAAGAGAGAACCTCAAATAGAACAGTGGGCTGTATAGAGAGAAGGGTAGAAAAACAAGAGATGGCATAGAGATTGGAAACTAATTGGATGGGCATGTAATAAGGGAGAGCAGGGAATATTTTTGCCAGCTATTTCAAGTGCCAGGGTTGAGGTTAGAGTATAATTGCCCTGAGGGGCTAACACCCAGAGGCCAGTGGTGGGAGGATGGAGAGTAGGGTAGTGTTAAGCACTAGTAACTGAGGAGTGATATAATTGTGTTGGAGACAAGCCTAAGGATGGGCTATTGTACAAAAGGTGTCACACGACCTATCTTCCCATACTCCAACTGGTTTATCACACACATGAGAGGTAATACCATGGCCCCCACTTTGAAGATAACTGACACAGAGCACTTGGATTTTTGTTTTTTCCCTGCTACTGTTCTATTAGTTTAATAAAATCTTAGCTTTCTGTGATCCATTTTGTACCTTTTAGTCTATGCTTCTTATTAAAGGAGTATTCTGGGATGTTTATAAATTTTAATCTATTTCCTTTCTTCTTTTTTCTTTCTTTTCCCCATCCAATTCAATTCAATTCACATTTATTAAATGCCTACTCTGCACAAAGGCACTCTTCTAGATTTAAAAAGACAAAGATAAGTGCTTAGCACCTGCACCATACAAAAAGCATCCCATATAAATGCTAGCTATTATTATTATTATATATAACAATCTTTGCCTCCAAGGAACTTTCAACTTAATAGGGAAGAATAATTATGCATAAATAAGTACAGCTTAGAAGTAGCTTAAAATACAGCTAGAATAAGATAAACATAAAAAGTGCCACAAGAAATTTGAGGAGAGAGTTTTGCTAGTATGGAAGATGGGAGAGAAGAAAGAGAGAGAGAGAATGAGATCAAAAGGAAGACAGATACAGACAGAAACAGTGACAGAGATGGAAAAATAGAACAAGAGAAAATATGGCAGGGGAAGCTAGGTAGCGCGGTGGATAGAGCACCAGCCCTCGATTCAGGCGGACCTGAGTTCAAATCCGTCCTCAGACATATAACACTAGCTGTGTGACCCTGGGCAAGTCACTTAACCCCATTGCCTAAGAAGAAAGAAAGAAAGAAAGAAAGAAAAAGAAAGAAAGAAAGAAAGAAAGAAAGAAAGAAAGAAAGAAAGAAAGAAAGAAAGAAAGAAAGAAAGAAAGAAAGAAAGAAAGAATATGGCACCTGGGTTGAGCCTGGAGGAAAAATTTCGACAATCAGAAAGGTGTGTATGGGAATACATTTCATGGATTAGAGAAGAGCCATCACACAGCACCTGACAGAAAGTAGGTAGCTGACAAATGCTAGTTGACTGACTAGAGGAAGGACAATCATAGGGGATGACTATGCAACAACTAGTAGGCTAGTTGGACTGAAACATAGAGTTCATGCAGTACAGGAAAGTAAAATAAGGGTGGAAACATATGTTGGAGTCAGAAGAGAGAGGGATAGAGTTGAGTCTGACAAGGAGTCACTGAAGGTTTTTGAGAAGAGGAATGAGATGGTCAAACCTGTGCATTTGGAAGATTATTTGGCAGCTCTGTGACAGATGGACTGAAATCAGAGAGATATGTTAGAATGTAATTAGAATCAAATGAGATAATATGTGTAAAGCACTTAGCACGGTGCCTAGCATGTAGCAGGCGCTATATAAATGCTTATTCAGTTCCCCTTTCCTTACCCAATTGCCATAATCTAGGTGAGAGGTAATGAAATTCTGATAAGGTAATAATGGTGGGATTAAAAAACAGCCAGATGAAAGAAACATTGGAAAGTTAGTTTAGCTAGGACTTGGAAATCCATTGACTGTGGAAGGCAAGGGAGAGAGTGAAGAATTAAAGATGACTCTGAGATTTTGAGACTCTACAATTGAAAAGATGCATGATCATGCTATCAACATGAAGCCCCTCCTCTAGATTTCCACAGACCAGTTGTATGGCTCTCTGAAAGAGGGAGTGTCTAGGATTTGGTAAAGAAGGCATGAGCTCTTGGGCAGCAGGAAATTTGGGGTACATGAAGCTGGTGGGGCCTGCTCAGATGAGGAAACAGGATAGAAACTATTTAATGGATCAAAAAAAATCAGGCTTTCCTTGGTGTCATCATCCTTAGCAGGTAGACAGAGGGACTAATGCAGGTAGTTTGGAGAAAGGACCTTAAACTGAAGTAGCTTATAGGTTGTGGAACACAGCAGCCAAGGGTAGCATCTTTCTCCTTTCAACATAAAGGGAGCTAGAAAACCCCAGCTAGGTCCTATTTGCTATTCACTACTGCTGATAATATTTTGTAAGCCTGATTCTTTTTTCATAAATTTGCCAATTGTCTGTAGGCATGTCCGTACTTGAGATCAGAATGTGCATGCTTGAAGGACAACTCAGAGAGTTTTAAATTTTCACTGTCTTTGCTAGGACCCTGCAATTCTAGTAAGGGAAGTTAAGACCTCCCTGGAGGTTAATGAATCATGGTTTAGTTTTATGAATGATCGTATAACTCTCCCAAGCAGAAACCTAAAATGTAAACTCCAGGCTTACTTAGATCTCCCCCTGGAAGAATGAGCTATTGGAGCAAGGTGCTACTAAGGGCATAAAGGCAGATCCCTGAGGCTAAGCTCCCCTAGATGGTCATAAAATGAGGAATTGACAGACCCATGTGATCCATAGCACGACAGCTCTGCAGACAGAAATAGGGAAGTTAGGAAGTTGTGCGGATTTGGGGCATAAGATGTGTTTAC